CCCCCAGCCCCCGCAGGGCAGGCTGGCACGGCACGGCGGGGCGGGCACAGTGACAGAGGGACATTCTGGGGCTGGGGGATCCCCGGCCAGGGGGAGCCTCTCTGAGGATGAGTTTTTCACCTCTGTCTCTGGGCGCAGCCCCAGACTCGAGGGCAGACCCCCAGACTGGGCTCTTGCCCCTGCTGGGGGGAGCTGCTGCCCGGGGGCTGCTGCCCGGGAGGGGGTCTGAGTGCCGGAGAACCATTGCTGCACTGGGGCTGCTGCTGGCTGTTCCCAGCTGGGTACAGACCCCGGATCTCCCAAAACCTGGGCATCCCACAAAGCATTCCTAAGGCAGCTCCCTGCAGGGGAGGGGATTAGGGAGCCCTGGGACCCTGCGGCCCTCCCGCCAAGGGCAGTAAAGGGGGCAGAGGGGCCTGGCTGAGCACCCAGCTCCTCCCAGCTCTGCCAAGCAGGGGCCAAGCGCAAGGGGCAGAGCCGCAGTGCTTGATGCGGCGAGGGCGATTCCTGCCGCCCCAATCCCATGCACTTCCTCCTGGCCAAGGTACAAAAGGAGAAGCAGCCGGGCGCAGCGTGGGCGCAGGGACGAGCCGGGATCCACAGGTCCCAACAGGGACACAGCAAGCAGCTGGGGGCTCCCCGCGGCTCGCCGGACACAAGTAAGTGACATCTCTTCCCATGGGAAAATGATATATGGGATCAGGTGGGCACACGGGAAGATGGGGTGCCCAAGGTCAACCAAGGGTGCAAAAGTAGACACCAGGTGTCCAGAGGTGTCTGCAGGTTCTGATCCTACCAGGCCCCTCATGCCACGGTGATGTTGGGTGGCAGGGTTCATCCCAGGTATTGCTGCAGGCTGGCACTGGGGGACAGTGCCAAGGGGAAGGGGGGGACCAGGACATTTGCACAGTCTCGGGCATGCTTGTGCACACACGCTCCCATGGCTCCTGTGAGCGTGCGCACACACACATGCACACACGCGTGCACGCGTGCCCTCCCCATGCCATGGCCACCACCACCTCTGCTGGCAGACGTTTGGGGACCTGCGTGCCACTCGTCCCAGCCCCCCTTGCCGCTTCCCAGGCTGCTCGTGGTAAGAGCACGGGAAGCGAGAGCAGAAGCGAAGGCAGCACTTCCCCCACGCCAACTCCCCACCCTGAATCAAGGGAAAAGGGACAGGGACAGGGATGCTCCAGGGGCTCAGCCTCAGCAGCCTCCTGACAAATGGGGCTGCGCCACCAGGCAGGGCAAGCCTGGCATGGTACAGGGGACAGCCCAAGGGCTTTTGGCCTCTTGGAGTGGGCTGCATGGAGAGCTAAGGGGGCACGAGGTGCACCCATCATGTCTCATGCCTGTGGAGGGGAGGGCATGGGCAGAAAGGGTGCCCTCTGTCCCATGTTGTTTTATCCTAAGAAAGAGCAGCTCCATGGTGGGGCTGGGTCGGGGCGGGGGAAGACCCTTTCCTTTGGGCAGAGAGAGACCAAACCAGAGTTCTGGGGTGCCAGGGTCAGTGCCAGGCCAGCTCCCTATGATCAAGGCCTCTGTCTTTGCAGACCCCAGGAGCAGGAGCCATGGCAGAGGATGGGGAGCTCAACCGCGTCATCAAGGATTTGCAGAGTGAGTGTGACCAGCACATCCCTGCCGCGGTGCACAGGCACCCTCAGCTCCTGCTGTCTCGCCCCAGCAGGATGGATAGACCTGCAACCCAGGCACCACGTTCCTTCTTGTACCCACCCATGGGCAGCAGGGAAGGGTTGTGTCACCCGTCTCCCAGTGCTGCAGCAGGGAAGGAGGCCTCATCCCCATCACGGGTTCCATTCCAGGACCACCCGCCTGGAGCAGCCCCATCTCCCCCTCATCCCTGGGCCACTCTTGGCTGGGGAGTCATCCTAGCCCCCATCCTAGCTGCCTGTCCCGCGACCAGCCCAAGTGCCTGGGTGGAAGGGAGCAGGTGCCGGGCAGAGCCTTGCATGTACCTGCTCCCGCTCGCACTCCCTCTTCCCCCTTTTCATCTCGCCGTGAGTTCCTCTTTCATCCACAGCAGAAATCCCCGGGGCTGAGAGCCTGGACATGGTGGGGAGGGTGTGGGATCGAGCACAGAGCCTGCTGCCCGCTAGGGCCGGCCAGCTCATCCCTGCCGCCCCACAGAGACCATCACTGAGCTGAACCGGAGCTACCGAGAGCAGAACCTGCCGGTGACGGACGGGAGCCGGGAGCTGCACAGCCTCTGCGCCCAGCTGGAATTCCTCCTCCAGGTACCAGGGAGGCTGCCCCCAGCTCCCTCCCTGCTTTAGTTTCCTCCTGGGTGCCACCAAGAGCTGAGGGTACCTGCACCAGCCACTCGGTGAGTGGGCACCTTGGAAGAGCTGGATGCATTGGCGCTTGGCACTGCCAGGCCCTTGCACTGCCCAGCTTTGGGGGCATGGAGGAGGTTTCTGAAGGGAGGGCTGAACCTTGGCACGCTCAGATGTGGTCAGTGTTGTCTGGCTCAGGGCACTCCTGTCCATGCCAAGCTCTCCTGCAGCCAGCAGATACCCTGCCCAGGGCTTGTCCTCTTTCACACAGGGAGCTAGGGGTTATTCCCCAAGCCACAAAAGGGAAACTGAGGCACAGAGGTAGCCAAGGGTCACTCTGCAACTCTGCTCCCCCTGCCCCAGTGCAGCAGGCCACGCTCGGTCAGGGGACACCAGGAATGGCCATGCCAGGGTGTCTGCTGGGCACTCAGGGCAGCTGGCTGGCTCCCAGGCCGTGGGGAACAGACTGAGGGGACAGGGGACCTCTCCCGGTGGGACTGAGCTTGTGTCTCTGCCAGTTCGACCTCAAGGAGAAGAGGAACTTCTTTGGGCAACGGAAAGACTATTGGGACTTCCTGTGCCAGGGCCTGGCACGGCGCCGGCAGGAGCACGAGGGGGTTCGCTTTGTCACCTCGCTGGACAAGGTGGGCACAGCCCCCGTGCGTGGGCTCACGAGGGTGCCCTGGGGAGGGCACACACACACGCTGGTGCACAGGCATGCATGGTTGTACGCACACCTGTGCAAGTCAGCCTTGCACATGCACGTTTGCACGCTGGTGCATGCATTTGCGCCCAGGCACACGCGCTGGAGGGTGTTTGCACCCATGCAGACATTTGTGGACACCCACGCAGGGTGGCAGGGGGGAGGCCCACACGAGGGCTGGAGCGGCCGGGGTGGATAAACCCCTCTGCCCACAGCTCAAGACCCCGGTGGGCCGGGCCCGGGCCTTCCTGCGCTACTGCCTGGTGCACCGGCAGCTGGCCGAGTCCCCGCAGCTCTGCCTGCTCGACCCGCAGAGCCTCAGGTGAGCGCGGGGAGCGAGGAGAAGGGAGGGCCATGGTGGGCACCCCGCTGCGCGCTGGCGTGGGGGTCTGCAGAGGAGTGCGCGAGCCTGTCTTGTGGTTGCAGTGAGTGGTACTACGCCCGCAGCCCCTTCCTGAGCCCGCAGCGTCGGGCCGAGATCCTGGGCAGCCTCTACGAGCTGGACGGCGTCACCTTCCACCTGGCGCTGCGCCGGGCGGACCTGGACACCGCCTGGCCCATGTTCTCACAGTGAGCACAGAGGGAGCGGGGGGCACCGGGGCTGGCACCGCCAGGGGGGCACAGCACAGGCCCCTGGCGGCTCCCCAGCCGGCCCCTCGGAGTGTGCAGGGC